GAATTTGCTTTGTTACAAACCGTTTTGCTTCAATACAATTTGAAAGCGCCGGAGTCATTGACGCTCTTTGCAACTGGAGTCCTGAACTTTAAACAGAGACTTATTAGATCGAGCACCGGCTTTCATAAGTTGATTTTCTCTCTTCTACTTTCGAGTTCAGCTCTGCTCGAGTATCGACGTGTTCGAAATGAGAAATGAATGTAGCTGCAAGGGACGGAAGTAGACCGACGGTATAAAGCATGCGTTTCCAACGGAATAGTACGTCATCCTTTAACGGTAACAAGAAAAGAGTTCGATTTCATTATTACTTTCATATTGAGTTGAACAAGAAAACTCGAGGCTGTCATAATTTCCCTTTATATTCCTGACATTCGCTCGTGAGCCATATCGAATGCGATATGGATTTATCCAAAATTACACCAACAGAGGCTTAAGCGACGGTCATAACGATGAACGTAATACATAGACATATTACGATTAAAAATATCGTCAGATATCCCGGGAGATATTTGTTGCCATTGACATGATGTCAACGACATCAGTTGTTATGTCTCTCTTTACTTCGAGCGTTTGCGCGAACGAGCATTAAACCGGTACGTCGACATCCATGGTGGCCCATTTTACGAGCAATTTTTTTTTTTGATCGCGAGCTATGCCCGATATTCTAGGATTCTCTTATCAAAGTTTTTGGAAACGATATACGTTCGATGGTTCTCTGTTTTTTACAGTACAATCCCAAAAATGCGAGTCTTTCATTTTGAAGATTTTTTTTACCTGCTGCTCGTTTATTTATGCAAATGATTTCTCTCTCTCTCTCTCTCTCTCTCTCTCTCTCTCTCTCTCTCTCTCTCTCTCTCTCTCTCGCTCATTCGCTCGCTCGCTCGTTACGCGTAAATTACCATAGCAGAGATTAGCTGTACATTACACATAATCATAAACAGGAAGTATCAGAATATTCGTGATAGCACAAAGTTAATTATGTCTAGGCGTTTCCTAACGACCGCTTGTCGATAAGGAATTTGCCAGCGGATGGCACCGCTACTATCAACCGGCACTTTACGAGTGAATAAATTTTTCAATGACAGCATGTATCCCGCGTTATATATTTATCGTATCCCGCATTAATGGCGCAAACTGCTAATGAAATTTCCAGGATGATATACGAAGTTCTCATGCCCCAAGACCGTGTGGCTTAATGGACGGGCGGGGTAATTCAAAAACGGGCGACGAGCCCGTTCGCGCTAATGTCAGAGTCCGAGTTTTACGAGTTAATAAATTACTCACCGAGGGGAAGGAAGGGAGGGGGAGGGGGAGGGGGAGGGGGAGGATGGCGACGCACCCTCTTTGTTTCAATGTTGACGTATTTGCAACGTGCCCGTCCGCGACGGGCAATAAAATTATCAAGTGATATACGTAGCACTTACGTATGCAGTTACGTAAACACCGCTGAATCTAAAGAGCAATGCCGATCCCGAGTATCGACGGGATCGCTTTACAAATCAATCAAGCCGCGGGACCCGCCACGGGCGTGATTTAATGACTGCCAGCGCCTTCCGCGTGCACGCTTGCACGTCGTCGTTAAATGAAATTCTGAAGTTATCTCATATACGCTCCGCTCGTTCCTTTTTCTTCCGTCGCGTCGCCGTTTAATGGTGAAGAATTCAAGCGTGACGTCGACAAGGGGTGAGGCGGGAAAGCAACTCGAGGGCTCTCTTCCGTGTAAGAGAGGAGGAACGTTAAAAAGAAGACTTCGCCAATTTTAAGGTGTGCGGGAGGGGGAGGGCGCCGGGGGGGCTAGCACGCTCTTGAAAAATGTCCTAATGTAAATTAATGGCCCGGAAGTTTAGCTGGGAGGGCTATAACCTGAAAGAAACACAGGTAGAAGTGCGGCCCCTTCCCCGCCGCTGGTGTTATACCGAGCTGCAGGAGAACTTTACCCTCTTTCGCGAAGATGTCGGGGGAAGAGGCCACTGAAGAAAGTGCACCATAATCTAGGGTCTCGGGAACTTCTCCGAAAGTGCGACGGTGAGGTCTACGTTTCTTCACGCGAACGTTAAACGGCTGAATGGACTTTACTTTCAATCGCCTTGTCCTGTTAAGAATGGCATGACATCGGCACAACAGCGGAAAGCGGAAGAATGCGCTTTTCAAAATTTTCGCAAAGCGATCTTCGATATTATGATGAAAAAGCGGATACGTAACTCTATTAACATATTTTAACAATTTAAACTCTTATAAACGTTATGAAAATGAAATAAAAAGACATCTATCAAAATATTTCGCTTTATAAAACTTATTCACAAAAATTTTCCGAAATTGCAAAAATTTTTCTAAAAATTCTTATTAAGAAGGAACTTACATACCAAATTTGAGCAAATGACTTTTCCTAAATTAAAAATTTTTCCTGTTTCACAATATATATTTTGAAATTCGTTTATTTTAGTGCACAAATTTTCTTCAAAGATTTCTATAATGCACACGCATATACACATGTAGCTTTTTACGAGTAAACTTTTGAAGAAGTAACTCAATTTATTGCACACTTCTAACACCAGTAATGTTTTACAACTGTGCTCTTTCTTGCTTTCCTACACTAAATGAAATTTTTTTCAAGGAAATTTTTTTGTAGTTTCAAAACTTTTACATCCCAAAAAGTTTGAACATAATAAAAATTAATTGTTTCTGTCTTTATTTTGTAATTTATTAATATAAAAAGCAGTAATTTAATACAAAACGATCGGATAAGAATAGTTAAGTCAAAAATTTTCGCACAATGAAAGCAGAATTTATAAAGTCAGAGAATATTAAAATTTTAAATAACGTAAGCTTTTATTTTTAATAATCTCGGAAATTAGGATTACGACAATGACATATAATCCGTGGAAAAAATGTGGAAGTATTTCAAGTTTCATAGCGATATAGAAATTTCTTGTTCTAACGAACGTATAATCGAAAATACCTGCTGCGGCTATTCTCGGGAAAGCGATGGCAGCTATCCGAACATTCAATAATTTCGCATAACAATTTAGTAACTCTGTTCTACACCGACGGGGAGATAATTCGAGATTACAGGAAAACGCCGAGTGCGCGACCATAACGCTCTGGGCAAGTTTATTAACGCAAATATCCGAAAAGCCATAGTAATCCAGCAGTCTCGCATACGGATTGTATTTCTTCGGCGACGAGTTCGAGGAATCGCGACGAGTTTCGTGAAACATGAACTTGTCCAATCACGCGATAATGCGAGATATTTCTCGACGCCCAACACGCGATAATATATATACGTATCCATCGTATAATAATATTATCATGTGACATAACATCCGAAATACCCACATCAAAGAAGGAATAGATAGAGTGCTTTAGGAGCATCAAACGCGAGCGAAGAAGCTCTAACAATCCGCGTGCAATGTGGTTTACGGTGGCGTCTTCGTTCGGAGTTTCTTTGCCATCGTGCATAAACTTGAAAGACGCCAAGCGACGTCAATCCGCTCAAATGTTAAATGTTGAACGCCCATAAAGCTGACTCCGAAAGCGGTATGTTTGTAGAGAGAATTTTGATTTCTAGGAAAAACCATAAGCAATAATTTCTAAAATTTATGTATCGAATTTAGATTTAATTCTTTACACGAACATTTTTCCCAGCGATGAAAAACGAATGGATTATTTGCGAATAGATATTTAAAAATTAAATGAAGGGAAGATGATTTTTGAATTTTTATATCAAGGGTTGTCTTCAGGTTGCTCAAAAAATTTCTAGTTCAAAGAGAATTACGAGATCATCACGTACTCTATAAAATCATATGATTTTTGATTTTTGATTTTGTCAAAAATAAAAACGTTAAACACATTACTGTTAATAAAAAAAATTAATACATTACCATTAATTAAATTAAATAAATAAAATAAACATTAATTAAATAAACACACATTATCATTAATTTTATGGTTTTTAATTTCTTTAATTTCCTTTTTAATTTTTTTTGATATTTGATTTTTGACTTTTGCACATGAATGACGGAATAAACTAGCCTAGAAATACGCGAAGTACACGTCTACATTTCATATTCGTGTTACAAGAATCGTCGTCGGGAAGATACACACCGGGGTTTGAGGAGTACGCGGCTGATATCGTCTTTTTACGATACACCGGGTTCTAGTCGCCGGTGAGGTGTACGTGGTGTGTGTGTGTGTGTGTGTGTGTGTGTGTGTGTGTGTGTGTGTGTACACCCGGTGTGCTCCTGCGCAATAAAAGCATAAACTTCTTCATAGTCCTAGTGCTCCATCGAGGGCGAACAGTAATGCGGCCAGCCAGAGAAAAAGAGCAGCAGCGAAACGGGAGGGAGCGAGGAGGATCCCTCAAGTTATACGGGGGCTTCAATTAAAGTCGATAAAAAGAGCGGCGAGGAAGCTTCCCGGAAAGCAACTAGCGATCCGCGTTTTATAGCCGCCGCACTCGCACGCGTTTCCGAACGCGCGTTCGCGCGTACGAAT